GATTAGAAGTCTTTGTATCTGCTAAGCAAACAAGATAGTTTAGTGAGGTTACAGCAGATATCTATATAAGGGAAGCTGGCAGTGTTTGGCAATGTAAAAATTTCCTTAAATGGTTATGAGCATGGCCACTTTCTTCACACGGTGTTGTTTCCTTTCAAATGCAGCAATAACCTTTATCAGACAAGCCAATAACTCAGTATCCATTATAAAGTGTTGATAATACACATCTTGTCACACACTGGAAGAGTAGGAAGGCTGATTATCTCAAGCTGAAAGTCTGCTTTGCTAATAATGTTTTAAATAAAGACAAAAACAGCAAAGCATATTAAGCAGTTTTGTTTGTGTACCCAAAGACAAAACAAATCCTGTGGCATGAATTCAGATTTAATTACATAGAATCATAATGAAGCAATGTTTTATTTAGACGTGATTTTAAACAGTCTTCAGGTTATGTGTCCTGCTTCATAACCAAGCAATTTCATTAAAAGGATCATTTTTGCTTCTTTGCTTTTAATTTGTCCACGTTTTGGAGATTCTCAGGTGATTCAGGTGATCAGTAATGTATTTGTGCTTGGGGAAATTTGAAAACTTTGCCTCCTTGATCTTAAGCCAGTTTTGGGCTCTGCGCTCCGCTGCGTGGCCGTGTTCTTGCTCTTGAGTCATGTACGATCGGCTGATCCAGTATTCGTTCTCAGCCTCACGCTCCAGATGCCTCAGCATGCTTTGTTCCATCCGCCATGAGACGGGCCGTGAACGCCGATACTTTCCGATCCACTGCTTTCCAGGAATACCTTTCCGCAGGAGAGCGAACGTGAGGAACATGGTGGCAAATCAAATCTGGTACTAAAAACAAACAACAACAAAAAAAAAGATAAAATTAAACTTGAGACTGATGAAAAGAATAGCCTTTTTACAGAAAGATAACCGAGCATCACAAAAACAGAAGGTAGAAACTGAAAAATATAACTATAAGCTTATGAATAAGTTAAAATTAAAATGTGATTTTTAAACAAAAGTCCTGGTAATGAGCCTTTCAGCTCAAAATGATTAACGTGCTGCCAGATATAATAAGATGAGCACAACATACTGAAATGCTTAATGGGCTATAAAACTGCAATAATAAACACTCATTTATAACCAAAGTTCACTACAGTTAATGGCCAGACTTTCAGTTTGGCAAAAATTAAAGTTGCTAAATTATTAGAGGAAAAATTATAAACATAAAGGAAAAGACTTAATGAGAAATTGAAACATCTTTATTTCCCAGGCCTTCTATGAATGCCTGTGTCTAATGTCATTAATCTATCTGCAATTTTGTTATTGTGTATTTTTATGAATAAGGAAATAAGAACATTTACTAAATGAGTATGGCACCCAGCTATCAAAACATTCACTACTCTTAAAATTTTATTGGTTAGAAGACAACAGGCTAACAGTAAATATATTATTCTTATTTTCAACTGTATTATACATAAAAAAAAAACTTTGGGATTGGATTGAGAACCCAGTAATGAATTGGCATTAAAGCTCCCAAAAGTCTAGAGATAGCACAACACAAAAACAAGTCCATAAAGATGTCACAATTCAACTCCAAAGATGGTAAACATCTGCTGCTCATGTACCAATGACTCATGTAAGCGTACATGGTATTTCCTGAGTGCTGCTACAATGCTTAATATAGTAGTGACATAATTCTCACAAACAGGTGCAACTGAATATATTACTTTATTATAAAGTTTTATTTAGCTATGAAATGAAAATGTGGGACCTATAATTTTGTATTGGTATCTCAAACAGAAGTGTT